TATTCTGAGCTGGACGTGAGTCACAGAGGTCATAATTAATAATTAATTAGGCTGTTATCAGATACAGAGTTCTCATCCAGTTTCCTCCAGGTGTCCATGGCTGAGGAGTGTAGCTCCCTCAGCTCTGTTTTTATGGAATATTTTAATTCCAGCCCAGCTGCCAGGAGCTGCCCCTCTGCAGCCAGCCCTGCCGGGGTTTCCTTGGAGCTCTGCCCTCTGTGGCCCAGATTCCTGCAGCTCATTTCCCTGGGGTTCCCCCTGCCTCACCTGGGCCCTGCAGGCCCCTGTGTGATCAGGATGTGTTCCCTGGACTTTGTTCCACCCAGGAAAATCTGTGCAGGCTCCTCCTGCACCAGCAGAGGGATCCCAAGCCCTGCAGGAAAGGCAGGAATCAAATCCTGTGCCACAGTGCCGAGCCACATCCTGAAAAATTGCAGGCAGGGAAACAGCACTGGGAGGTTTGAGTTTGTTCTTGTCAAAACTTCTCTTTGTGGGATGAAGCATCACCTGTCCCCATAATCCTGTTTTGGTTCACACAGCAACTCTGTTAATGTGGTTGCAGATTTTTGGCTATTTGTGAAAGCACAAGAGTTTAAAACCTTTCCTGGTTTTAATTTATTGATATTTACCTGTGTTTAATAGTGATTTGTGCTTTTATATCCACATTTTTTATACTATTATATCTAATCCCCAGCACACTTCTTTTAACTCAGTCCTTGCCAGGGCAGCAGGAGAGGTGGGAAAAACCTGAGGATGGAGGCAAAGGCAGTGGAAACAGTAAAAAAGCTAAAATTTGGGAATATTGCCACTGGTCTGGGTCAGATATTTTGGACACAGGAGGAGGAACAGAAGTTGTTGCACCCTGTTGGAAAGCCACAGTCAGAGATGTGATGTCATTGAATAGAATCAGAATCACAGAATATCCTGGTTTAGAAGGGATCATCAGAGTTCTTTGCTGGAGTCTGTAGCTGTTCCCAGCCTAATCCAGCAGGGCCACAGATGCTTGGACACATCCCCATCTCAATTCCTTGGAGGGCAGCTCAGTCAGGAATCACAATATGGGATCATGGAGGTTGGAAAAGCCCTGTGGGGTCATTGGGTCCCACCTGTGACTGATCAGCTCAGCCCAGCTGAGTGCCATGCCCAGGAATTCCTTGGACACCTCCAGGGATGGGGAATCCAAACCTCCTTGGGCAGTTCCAAGGCCTGACCATCATAAAACAGGATCATCAAGGTTGGAGAAGTCCTCCAAGGTGTTCAGGTCCAACCTGTGACCAGTCTCCACTGGGGCACTGGGTGCCACATGTTCATTCCTTTGGGTTGGGGACTCCAGACCTCCCTGGGAGGTTCTAATGCCTGAACACCCTTCCAGTGAGGGAATCCTGCCTAGAAATCCCACCTAGAAATTCTTCTTAGAAATCCCACCTCAAAACCCTGCTTAGCTGAATGCTGGACCTGCCCCCATATTGGAACAGAACTCGGGGATCCAGTGTCACATCCCTGTGTCCCTGTGAGGCCCATCTTGCCTTGTTCCTTTGTCCCCGTAAGGCCTGTGCATGCCTTGTTCCCTTATCCCCATCCATGCCTTGTTCCCTTGTCCCATGAGGCCCATCCATGCCCTGTTCCCTTATCCCATCCCTGCCCCATTCCCTGATCCCATCCCTGCCCTGTTCCCTAATCCCATTCCCTGATCCCATCTGTTCCCCGACCCCATCTCTGCCCTGTTCCCTGATCTCATCCATGCCCTGTTCCCTTATCCCATCCCTGCCCCATTCCCTGATCCCATTTGTGCCCCATTTCCTGATCCCATTTCCTGATCCCATTCCTTTATCCCATCCATTCCCTGATCCCATCCCTGTCCTGTTCCCTGATCCCATCCATTCCCTGATCCCATGCCTGCCCCATTCCCTGCCCCATTCCCTGATCCCATTCCTGCCCTGTCCCCTGATCCCATCTGTGCCTTGTGCCTTATCCCATCCATTCCCTGATCCCATCCCTGTCCTGTTCCCTGATCCCATCCCTGCCCCGTTCCCTGATCCCATCCATGCCCCATTCCCTGATCCCATTCCCTGATCTCATACTCTGATCCCATCCCTGCCCTGTTCCCTGATCCCATCCCTGCCCTGTTCCCTGATCTCATTCCCTGATCCCATCCTTGCCCCATTCCCTGATCCCATTCCCTGATCCCATCCCTG